TCTTCAGGCACTCTGTCTATCAGATCTAATTCCTTAAATATATTTGTCACCTCTACTGTATATTCATCAGGAATATGATTTAGTTCATATCTGAGTGGCCAAGTTCTTTTCCCTACTTTTTTCAATTTAAGCCTAAATTTTGCAACAAGCTCATGATCTGAGCCACAGTCAGCTCCTGGTCTTGTTTTTACTGACTGTATACAGCTTCTCCATCTTTGGCTGCAGAGCACATAGTCAATCTGATTTCTATGTTGACCGTCTGGTGATGTCCATGTGTAGAGCCGTCTCTTGGGTTGTTGGAAAAGAGGGTTTGTTATGACCATCGTATTCTCTTGACAAAATTCTATTAGCCTGTGCCCTGCTTCATTTTGTACTCCAAGGCCAAACTTGCCTGTTATTCTGGTTATCTTTGGGCTTCCTACCTTAGCATTCCAATCCCCCATGATGATAAGGACATCATTTTTTGGTGTTAATTCTATAAGGTGCTGTAGGGCTTCATAGAACCGGTCAATTTCATCCTCTTCAGCACCAGTGGTTGGGCATAGATTTGGACTACTGTGATATTGAATGGTTTGCCTTGGATTCGAATTGAGATCATTCTGTCATTTTGGGGATTGTATCCCAGTATTGCTTTTCCTATTCTTTTATTGACTATGAAGGCTACTCCATTTCTTCTGAGGGATTCTTTCCCACAGTAGTATACCTGATGGTCATCTGAGTTAAATTCACCCATTCCTGTCCATTTTAGTTCGCTGATTCCTAAGATGTCGATGTTCAGTCTTGTCATCTCTTTTTTGACTACGTCTAGCTTGCCTTGATTCATGGATCTTACATTCCAGGTTCCTATGGAGAAAAAATCTTTACAGCATCGGACTTTCCTTTCACCACCAGATATATCCACAGCTAAGCGTCCTTTTGGCTTTGGCCCAGTCGCTTCATTCTTTCTGGCACTACTAGTACTAGCCCTCTGCTCTTCCCCAGTAGCATATTGGACACCTTCTGACCTGAGGGGCTCATCTTACAGCGTCATATCTTTTTGCCTTTTAGTACTGTCCATGGGGTTTTCATGGCAAAGATACTGGAGTGGTTTGCCATTTCCTTCTCCAGTGGATCACATTTTGTCAGAACTCTCTGCTATGACCTGTCCGTCTTGGGTGGCCCTGCACGGCATAGCTTATAGCTTCATTGAGTTACACAAGCCCCTTAGCCACAACAAGGCAGTAATCCATAAAGGGGATAATATGGATAGTAAATGCTATACACAATTTAGCAAAAATTACTGAGTCATGCATGTAAATAAAATATAGTAATAATCATATCAGGATGTGGCTTGAATTTGGATCTAGTTCAGGGCATAAGCAGAGTAGTTTTGGAAAGATTGTCATACATCTGGGGTACAAAAACTACTTAATTTTATTCTGGGCCTCCCAAAGGTGCTATTTCCATTCTGTTTTTAAGGCGCACCATTGTGTTGGGATACATGTGGCCTAACAGCCACACCAGAAAGAACAAGACAAAACTTCTGTTATTTAGCGAAAACATTATAGGAGAGAGGAAATGGGCATATTGAATTCAGTGACTAATAGAATTACCCTTAAAGCAGTTATCATGGGTCAGTCCAGTCAGGTATCATAACTGATGGGCAACCTTGTGAATTGAGAGATTGTATAATTCTTTACGTTTTTTCCAGATTAATGTTGGAGATTAGTGTCTCAGTCTGAGAAGTTGGATGGCAATCTCTTGTGAGTTGCATCGGCTAGGTGATATGATCTAATGACTGATTTGTTTTATGGGGGAAAACTCTATTGTCTTGAGAAATTAACATTTCTCTTACTTATAAACATCCCTGTTGGAATCCTTGGGATGTTTCATTACCCACAAGGTGACATGATGTTTCATTACCCACAAGGTGACATGATCAGCATTGATGACTTTACTTAGCCATGTTACCTAGCTGAGTACTGAAACATCTGCACGCAGACAATCAAGCTCAGGGAACACCAATGACTCCGTAGTTCATCTCAGAGCTTCAGACACAAATGGCTGCAAATGTCATTGCATCATGGAACGAAACAAGCAAAAAAGTTATAAATTTTGTTCTTCTCAAAAACAAAACAAACAACCTCTGATTTTAAAATAATTCAAACCCACTCCAGCAATTTGTATGATATTTGGCCATCTTTATTCCCTCATAATGTCTAGCTTTCCTGAAAAATTCATCTGGCACTGAAAAACAAATATGTTAATTTTTCATACTAAAAAAATGTGAGAAAACAAAACTTCATTTTTCCACACCTCATTCTAAATCCAGGCATCAATTCAGATTGGAGTGTTTCCAGAGGGAATCAGATTAAGACTTTTTGAGCACACCTGCACATTGGTAAAATATCTGAGTACTTTCCACGGCATTTTATTATGCTGCTTTCTCAGAACAAATGATGCTATTGATCTGCCACTTTGGATAAAGAATGTGTGTTCTTTAACTTTGTTCTATTCCTAATTAATAATTTATTGCAAAAAAAGTATACTTTGGAAATATGAAGTGATGTACCAGCTACAGATCTATGCAGAATGAATGAAATTAAATTAGGAAGCTTTGTTAATGACAATGGGCTTTTTCAGCTATTCGGAAAAATAGACATGGTGCTTTATTTCTATTTCTCCATTAAATGCTGACAGTGAACAAACAGGAACATTCTGCTCCTATCATGTAACTAGAGTATTTTAGGAGCTGCATGTGGCTGGGTGCAGTCAAGGGGCTAGTAAGAATTTGTAAAGTCCTACAGCAGTGATGGCGAACCTTTTAGAGACCGAGTGCCCAAACTGCAACCCAAAATCCACTTATGCATCGTCAGGTGCTGGGTGGGCATGGCCCATTGGCTGGGTGTGGCTGCCATAGTAACAGCAGACTGGGTGGGACTAAAAAGTTCAATCAATCAATTCCAACTTTGCAAGATCTTTTTTTCCCGCAAGAAGTTGAGATTGACTGATTGATTGAACCTTTTTTTTTTTTGCACACAGTGGCCAAGGCCTAAAGAGAAAAGGTTTTATAAAACCCAGCTGAAGGCCTAGGACTGGGGGGACAGCACGTGTGCCCACAGAGAGGGCTCTGAGTGCCGCCTCTGGTACCCGTGCCATAGATTCACCACCACTGTCCTACAGTGTTTGGAGGTCTAATTATCTGCAATGCCACTTACTCCAAAGCCTATTTGGAAGGAAATTATGCTAAGAGCTTCCCAACTCATGTGATGGGATGGGAGAAGATTCAGAAGCAAGTGTTCTGTGTCAGAATGCCATCCTGTAGAATCAGCTATTCCCGGAAATAAAATCACTATCTTCATGCTTAATCTTTAGGGAAAATCTGGTTATTTAAGCAGATATTTGGAACTTGAGATTTGGGGAATACAAGAACTTATGAAGTATGAGGACATTGCTAATAATATTGTTACTGTATGTTCTTATGAATACACTGAGAATTTTAGGTGCTAAAATATACCCTCCAATATTGGGTTCAAGTTACTGTATCTATAAATAAATTATGAGTATATATGGTAGTAGTTTTTAAAATAGCCATATATCCCATATATATTCATGGATAAGCCCATCTACAGATAAGCTGACTGTCAAAATTTTAACCGAAGTTCCATGAAAAATGGATTGTCCATAGATTTAATTGTAACACTTTAAACATTTGGAAATTTTGAGGCTTATCTACATGTAGCATATTTTTCACGGTGTTTTGCTTAAAAAATTGAGGGTCATCTTTTTCACAGATGGGCTTTTATACAAGTACTGGGATTTTATTATGATGTCATAATGTTATGCATATTGAATAGTTCACCCTATAGTAAGTCTGTAAGATGATTAAATTTGCTTTTAAATTGAGGTGATGTTATGACCCAGGTCGACTAGGCAGAGGAAGATTTTGATAGAGTCCTTTATTGTTAAGTCCATAACAAATGGCCCTAGAATGGCTGGCAAAGCTCCACCTCAAATTTCCCTGAAGGCAGCCATCTACAGTCCCACAAACAAAAGCCGATAATCACCAGAGCCGAATCACAAAGGCAGAGAGGAAGTCCAAAAACAAGGGGCAAGTCCACAAGGCAAAGTCCGTAGGTTCTACCCAAGATTCCAGGTCCACAGGGCAAGGGCAAGAGTCCACAAGCAATGGTTGAAGTCCACAGGCAGAAACATGCATAAACTGTCTGTCAACCATAATATCTACCTGGATGTGATATCACACAACTTGTGTACTCTGGGTTCCTTCAATTAAACAATGCCAGTTTTTTTCTCAGCCATTTTAAGCCTGTTAGCTGGGGAATTCTGGGAGTTGGACTCCACACATTTTAAAATGGCCAAAGTTGGGAAACACTTCTACTGGTATAACTACTGCAATTCCTTTTATGAACTATTGAAATTGTCAGCTGTTTAGGGTTTCTAGAACCTTGTTCCATAAGATTGGATAAAATGCATCATTTATTTGTCTGATGAAGTTTAAGGTTTCTGCTTAGATCTGGACCTATTAATAGTAATAATTGAAGGTTTTAACTACCTCGACAGTAATCTTTCCTGACACAGGAGTTTACTTTCCCCGGTTTCTGCAAGCTTCCATGGCTACCCTACTGGTTTTTAAATGAAAGATCAAGAACAAAAGGGAGCTGGGTCACAGCCAAAAGGTTTGTCCTGATTTTTTAAATTAGCTGGTTCATCACTAGACAAAGCATCCACAGCTGCTTCTGCCTTTTCCTCCATGGTCCTTTTAACTCTGCACATTCTTCCTGCTCTCCAAAACACTTAAGACTTTTGCTTGGTATCAGCAAGTGGAAGAGGTGATCTGTAGCACAGTATGGCAATAAACTCCAGAGGAAAATGTGGCTTCTTTTAGCTCCTAGTTTATAATGGAATTTAAAAGACCAGGGCATATTTGTATACTGAGGACCTTTTATGGCTGTTCTTTGCAATGTTGAAAGGAGTTTAACCGAAGTGTCTTTTTTTTTCAGAGAAACAGTTGTGCCGTACAAGCATGTTGATTCCCGTTTCAGAAATCAAGCTGAAACATTAGCTGCCAAATCTCAGCACAATCCTTTGCCATCTCAGCAAGCTCATCCTGGTAAATATTGTGATCTCAGTAAATAAATACTGAAGCACAGCTGGTATTGGCAAGATATCATAGCTAAGGTGCTGCAGGTCTCTTTATGCCCGTGGGCGTTACTAATTATTCTCAGAACACAGGTAGTAGAAAATGCATGGGGGAGGGGAATTGCAGGATAAAGACTTTAGGCTACTTTTAAAAAAAGGGGGGGGGGGAAATAAATGAATTGGAAGAGGAGGAACCCTTTTTGCTTGCATTTAGGCAAAGGCAGCCACTGCAGAAATATAGAAGGTTTACACAATTCAGGAAGGATTTTTTTTAGTAAAAGGAATGTCAGGGTTGCTCTAAAATCTCTAATTCCAATTTGCACTATTTGTCTGCACGTGTAAAGGACAAAACTGAGAAGTCCTTCTGCAAAGAACATTAAACAGGCACTTTTCATTCCCTCCTTTTTCCTTCGTTGTTTTGTTGAGTGTTGACTACTATTTACAGAGGTTCAGCCTGCCACATCCTACTAAAAAGAGCTGTTTGCTCAGATATTGTCAAACTTACATAGAAAGAGATGCTACTGTGTCTGAAAACCTTTTTTAAAATTGCCTTTGCAGAATGCAGATCTGATGACCGTTTCATTCAATATTTGGGCTTGCACATTAGCTTGTGTGTGATTATCTCTCCTCCTTGGATTCACTTGCAGAGTAAGTGTAGATGTTTTTGTCTAAATACAAGTCTAATGATCCAGATTGTGATTTTAGGAAGAGATAATAATAAAGGAAGAAAATCACAAAATAGAAAGACTTGCAAATAGAAGATGACACCAATTGTAATAGGTGCCTATGAAAACAACTGGAGCACTACTTGAATACCATCGGCATTGACAAAATCACTGTCAGTCAATTATGAAAGGCAGCTTTATTTGGAAAAGCTTAAATCCTGCAAGCAAACTTACAACACTATCAGACAACAACATCCGCTTATCCCAGGTTCTTGGGAAGGACTAAATACGGTAGGTGAATAAAATGCCAAATCCAGTCTAAAGATCTAAACATCATAACAAATAATATAGTAAACTTATATGCCACTCTTCAGAAACCTCTAACAGGGCTGCAAAATTCCTATTAATAACTTTATTTATTAGAAACCATCTGGGTCCTCTCACATGCTCTTAATTGTTGGCTGCTAATTGCTTTAGGATTTTCCCACAATTTTAAAATGTCTTTTTATAGTTATTGTATGAATGCTAGTCTTTTATTGTGTTTGGTCTTGGACCATAATTTTTTTTTTTCTGATACTTGTATGCCAACTCAACTCTCAGTGACTCTAGACAGCTCACAACAATCAAATAAATTAAAATCAATAAAGCATAAAAAATAAAGATAAGGTTTGTGATTTAAATGTTTCATTAAAAGCCAACTTTATAGCAAAGGACTTTTTCCTATGTCTGATTGCACTGGAAGCAGAATCATCCTTTCTTTGCCTTCAGTTTCCTGTACCCTCCTATATTAATTGCTGAAGCTACCCTGACACATGTAGCAGATAATGTTCTCTCCCCCCTCCCTTCTATTCATCCTTTGAAGACATTATACATAAATGCTAATATAGAAGACAGTTTCAAATACTTGATTGAAAAGCAGCGGATTCATTTTCCTGAGTTCCAGAGATCCATGAGGTCTTAACCCTCCTAACAAATTATTGCTTGTGGTTAATCTGGAGATCATGTTCTATTATAATGAATGTCCAGATCTTTTATTTTTTTCTAGAAGAAAATCAAACACAAAATGCTAATTCCTCTAACCAAAGCTCCTCAGAACCAGAAGGTTAGCAAATATAATTTGTCTGAGCAACTGCTAAGCTATACTTGGAACTAATAATTTTCAGTCTTTATACTGCATTTCTTATTTGGGTTTTACCCCTCTCTTATAAATGCCATATATTCCAGTTATATGGGTGGCTGAAGAAAAAGAATATGATAATGTTTGCATTATCATTGTTAATAAATGGGTTCCTCTGTACCACTTGGTTTATCTACATCAAGCTGCCCTTCCATTTAACCATCTAAATGATTTAAAAACTAAACCAAACTGCACCTTTTCCAATTGGTTTATCGAGTTGGGCTTTCTGCACCAGACAGACTAGATAATTTCTAAGGCTCCTTATATTCTATGATCTTAGGTATGTTTTTTCTGGATCTGAAAAAAAAAAGTACTTGGAAAATGTCCACTTTTTATATCCTTCAGAGATGAAAATCAGAGCCAAGGAATGTTCAAATGCAGCATGGAAAATTGTGATAAGTAGTGTGCTAATACAAATTAGAGTCACAGTAGAGTTACCAATATAATAGATATATAACCCTAGCTGTTTATAGATTTAAAATAGAAAGAGGTAAACTTATCAAGGCCTCCATAACTCACAATGGTACAGTGTCCCTAGTATTTTCTGCTTACCATTAATAAGTTGGAACAGGGTTCCTCTAGAACTTTCTAGACTGACAAATATTGATGTTGAGAGGTTTGGGAAAAGTTTTTTTTTTTAAATCTCAATTTAAAATTGTCTTATCTTTGCTGAAGTTCTTGACTAAGCTATGCCTGAACACCCACCAGAAAGCAGGAATAACAAGAAGATCTGTGTCTTAATAAGAAAAAAAAAACTGTCAGAAACTTGTAGCATGTAATACTCAGCTCAGTTTCTCCTTAGTAAAAGAGATATTGTTCTCACAATTGAATGGGTTCAACTGAAATTTTAAGAAAGTTAATAGCAGTATTTCTGCTTGATGCTGACTTTAGTCCTTCAGGAGGTTGTAGAAATTGCTGAAGTCTCAAGTTTCCTCATTGGATAGGATCAGAGACATACGGGGTTTCAACCTCTGAGTCTTCATGTAATAATACTATGTTCTTGGACCAGAAAGGTACAGAAGATGCTAAAATGAGGTAACCTATTCTTTGGACTGTCTGTTCCTGATCCTAAGAACATGACAAAAATCAATCATCATTATTGGTTTTAAAAATGAATTTTATCCATGGTTATGAACATACATTTTCTCTTTACTACAGCTGTTCCCTTAGATCACTGTTTTTGAATCAATCTAGATTCCTCTGCTAAGCACTGTTGGAAAATAATCCTGATTAGATAGAATTTGTTCTGATAATCATCATAATTAGCACATAGATGTGCTTTGTAGACATTTTTTTCAAGGGTATCACTTGTTGTCTCATTTGTCATGGAAATCTAAATTATGTGGATTGGTCTGTCGAGGTTTTCTGCATGTCGATGTCCTTGCCTTGGGATGGAACATTATGCATAAATATGAGCTGCAGAGAAGAGCTACTGAAAGCCAATAAAGCAAATCAATAGATTTGTGTGTCCCCAAATTAACAGGTTGCATAACACTTCTGCTTCAATATCTTCATATGTTCCCTTGATAAAAAGCAATAACATGCCATTCTATACCATTTCTGTGATTGTTACAAATTAAGTGCTGACTAGCAAAGCCTGTTATTGAAAGAAAGAAAAAAAAATCCCATGAACTGAAAATATAAATGCAACACTTCATTAGTGATTATTATTCACTGGTAAATTACAAGCTACAGAACTGGTTCTTGTATTTCTTTACTACTATCAGATTAGGCATATAATAATCATATGATACTTTTCAGATTCTAATTGGGACAGGCCTTCATTATTTGCTAACAGATTGTCCCCTTGAACAAGGTCATAAACTAGCAGGGGAGTTTCCAAGCAAATTTAATGTGCATGACACAAGACAGTAAAAATAGTTTAAATTAGCAATAACAAGGAAAGAATCCATGAAAGTATCAAGGGAGTTCTTAATGAGTATGAAAATATCTTACCAAGAGAGGAATGCAAAACTAAAGTTAGCAAATAAAACTGAAAATTTCCTTCACTACATTTGCAATAACATGAAGGATTTAAATAGATGGAGTAAAAAATAGGACTGTGCTGATTTGCACAGAATTGACCTGACCACATTTACAAAGGATTTCTCTTTATTTCCATCATTTATTTTGGTTTCTCTGTTTCCCCTCTTCTTGAAACAGTCCTGATTTAATCATTGTTCTGAACTGTTGGGTCAATTTCAGCATTTACCTGGTTTTTCTAATTTTTCTATGAGTTATCTGCATGAAATTCACTGTGAGTTACATACAATTTGCAGTCCAAATGTTTCCACTGCTTGTAATAAAAAGTTGAATTGTTAGTTGCAAATATAAGGATTATGAAAACAAAATCAATTAAATTGCTAAAAAAATCAACTTTCTGAATTGCATGGAAAAATGGAATAGAATCATGGAATGGAATCAGATTCCTCCCAATCAATGTATGGTTTCAACAATTCAGTGCAGAAATAGTTTTTTACAAATTGGTTCAGAAATTTGATTTAAATGTGCACATTTAAATCACCAGTTGCCTGATTTGCAGAGGTCTAATCATAATGCCTAAATTAAATTCAAAACACTATAGTCACCAGTCACGTAAGTGGAGCAGACATTCAGCTGAAGTACTTATCTGGGTGAAACCCACTTCAAATCTTCCTCTTTTATTTTCTCTCATACATCTGAATTTACACCATGTATTTTGCTGAATATCTTATTTGTGTTCATGATTTTCTCCATAATGAGTAACTTGCCAGGTAGTGAATTCCAGTGCATCAATAGCATTCCGGTCTACCATTTCTGCAGGAATAACAGAATAACAGAGTTGGAAGGGACCTTGGAGATCTTTTAGTCCAGCCCCCTGCTCAGGCAGGAAACCCTATTCCATTTCAGACAAATGGTAGTCCAAGCTCTTTTTAAAAACCTCCAGTGTTGGATAACCCACAACTTCTGGAGGCAAGTCATTCCATTGATTAATTTTTCTAACTGTCAGGAAATTTTTCCTTAGTTCTAGGATGCTTCTCTCCTTGATTAGTTTCCATCCATTGCTTCTTGTCCTGTCTTCAGGTGCTTTGGAAAATAGCTTGTCCCCTTCTTCTCAGCCCCTGAGATACTGTTATCATATCACCCTTAGTCCCTTTTCTGAGGAAATTCTTTTCAGGAAATTGGACCCTCAGTACAGGTCTTGAAAAATAATATTATTTTATAATTAAACTATTGAAGAAATATTATCAATATCTAAACATTAGTTTTTAATAATACTTCAGCCAGTAACTTTTATACTTTATGAAACATTTCCAGTTTTCCCACTTTTTGTAAGTCATTTTTCCTGACTTACATTGTTGGAATGGTTGTCAACGGCAACAATTTTATAATGAGATAATTATCATATAATTATTATGGTGTCAAATGTTTAACAATTTTTGGTAAAGTTTCCAAAAGACCGCAAAAAATGGTTTCATGTAATTGCTTTCTCATGGTAATAGATCTATGTGATTAAAATATTTAGAAACTGACCATTCCACTAAATTTCATAAACCACTGCCAGACTTTAATAGATTGTTAAGCTTGTCTTGCATAGCCATGGTATTAAATTTTAAAAAAAATCTATTTAGAAAAGGTTGAAATATACATGTTATATGTTTTCCTTACTATTCTAATGTTGATTAACAGCTCTGGAGACCCAGTTAGCTCTACTGAAACTGTGGCTTTCTCTTGATTTCAACACCATTAGTTCTTTCCTCATGGCTGGCATCTCTGCATGTAGTAAATCTGTGAGCCAGCTGCCTCTAGATCTCTTCTGCTTGGATTAATTGTGGGTGAGATACCATAAACCTCCTGCAGATGTTCAAACTTTTGGAGCCCATCAGGTGGTATTAAAATGAAATTAAGCAAAATGTTGAATTTCTCCTACTGCATTATCTAAATTTGTAAAGACAGACACAATTTTTCCAAAATGACTTGAAAAGATGACATCTAGCTTTTTTTTTTGAAGGAACCCGTTTGCAAGAGACTGGAGGCTAAAACATATGAAGAACGGTTACAGGAACTGGGCATGGCTAATCTAGTGAAGAGAAGGACTAGGGGAGACATGATAGCAGTGTTCCAATATATGAGGGGCTGTCACAGAGAGGAGCGGGGGTCAGCCTATTTTCCAAAGCACCTGAAGGGCAGACAAGGAATAATGGATGGAAACTGATCAAGGAGAGACTCAATCTAGAAATTTTCTGACAGTGAGAACTGTCAGAATCAACCAATGGACCAGATTGCCTTCAGAAGTTGTGGGAACTTCATCACAGGAAACTTTCAAGAAGAAGCTGGACTGCCATCTGTCAGAAACGATGTAGGGTCTCCTGCTTGGGTGGGGGGTTAGGTTAGATGACCTACAACAAGGGTGTCAAACTCGCTGCGTCACGTTGTCGGAGCTGGGTGGGCACGGCTTTCGTATGATGCAACCAGCCTACAGGCCAGCAGTTTGATACCCCTGACCTACAAGGCCCCTTACAACTCTGTTATTCTATTCTAAATACCATCTTTTACATAGGTACTAGCACTAAGCTAACATACATAGATATCTGAGCCTTCTGACAAGCAAATCCTCATTAATATTTGTCCTTTTTCTCAGGGACAAAAGTCTGGTTCATATTAAGAACATCTGGAGTTTAAATTGTAGATAAACAGCTAAAGGCTGATTTAGAGTTGCCTGCAACTGCCCATAGCTCTCTCCACATACCTATGCTGAGAAGGGGTTGATAGGTAGACATAGATAGCAGATGATTGCATGATAGATAAACACAGGAAATGTGTGTCTGTCCTGCTGATTGATTGAGCCAACTTCCTATTCTGTGCTTTGCTGTTTGAATGCACTCTAACCAGAAGATAGCATTTGCAGAAATATCAATGGAATACCTATGCAACTGTCCTCAAACAACAGATGCATGCTTTCCCTCACATGCTGGACAAGTCTGCTCAACCCTTAAGTGATTCTTCTACATGAAGAATCTACATGGAAATCATGCTAAGAGCAGTTTTGTGGGTTACAAATTAGGTCTGGAGAGCAGGATTAGTGTTCAATATAGCACAGCCAAAAAAAGAAATGTTGCTTTAGCAGTAGCAAAGCTCCATCTGAGCACTGTGATGAGCAAGCTTGCTGGCACACCCTTTCTTATTTTCCAATTAGAGTCATGATGCAAAGCATGTCTTGGTGATTTCAATACTGACAGATGGGCATCGCAGCTCACATACTGCATTACTGTCTAGATCTAGTGCTGCCTTTGTCCCTTGTATTTAGGAAATAATCTGATAGATGTGGAGTGTGGAAAAGACTTGATAGGGCTCTTGTCACCCTATAAGGCTCTCAGGTCTTGCAGAAGAAGCCTGCAACAGAATCTTCAAGCTCCGAGAAAATTCTTCTAGTAACATGATAGGACACACTACTAAGGAACTACACTGAAAAACATAAATGAATGAAAACAGTCAATTTCAGAGTCAGCTGGACCTTTTCTAGAGCAAACTGGACTGTTCCTAAAGCTTTAAATCCACTTGCAGGTTTGAAAAAAAAAATGGAGGCAGTTTTAAATGGATTTCCCCCCAAGCTCTCATTAAAAGGAAATTTCCAAGCCAAGGGAGGTGGAGTAACAGGATAGAGATTATTACTTTGGAAGTGACAGCTCTAGCCTCAGCCAGAGAATGATTGCAGAGCTCCCACAGTGCTTGGGGAAGGAGGCTGTGGATCTTTGCCATGGGTTTTCATTATTTTCTATTAGCAGATTGTCTCAGGAGCAGAAGTGCTAAAAATGTTTGTGACTGAAACATTTTTGCTGATGGATTTTATTTGTTGTGCCTGCTCTTGTTGTCTGGGGCTTAAATGTTCTAAACTATTACATCTTTATTCTGTTTCAGCATGGGAAGTCTCTGGGACTATAAGCTCTACCACCTATTTTTTAAATCCTTTTCTCTCCTGGCTACTTAAGGCTTCCCAGGAATTGAAGTGTGATTGAATCCAAGTTATAGTAGATGCTTCTCTTTCTGCTTGGAAAGAGCACCCAAGAGCAGGTCTCCTTCAATCCAACAGTTGAGGACAACTTCAATTCAGTCTCCAAACTTCCCTTTTTAGGGCGATTGTCTCACAGTTTAAGAGGAGGAAGCAAATTATCCGGAACCTTTCCAGCAGGATTTCAATCTGGTTTATAGTACTGAAACAGTGTTTCTCATACCTGGAGATTACTTTGGAAATCTCAGGATGGGGACCTTGCTCTCCTTGTCATTTAGATGGTTTGTGTTTGAATTTATTTATTTTCATCTTTTATTTATACTGCTTGCAAGTCATCTCAGACCTAGACCCTCCCATAATAATAAATAATTAAAGCAATATGAGAAACAAAAAAATTACCTTGGAAAGGAAAGATAAAACCCACAGTTACTTTGCTGGAGCCTTAAGTATGCTGAAATAAAACAATTTTAACTTGTATATAGAATTTCAGTGGGGCTAGGGGGTGTTGCATGCATTTCTATTGGGGAAATAAAGCTTGCTTTTTCTCACACAATAGGAGTGAACTTTCAGCAGGCCCTCTCTTCCCAAATTCGTCAGATAGACATATTCTTATTAAGTAAGGTGTTGGCCATGTGATTTTGGAATGCGGAATGTAAAAATGGAGGAGACAGAGAGGTTACATTTGCATTATGCATTGCCTATTTCTACTTCAAAGATTCCCATTCAATTTTCCTCTCCAGATCCTCTCCATGTGTAATTTGGCCATCTACAAGCAGCTACTATTGCTCAAAGAAGAAAAAAAATGGAGATTCCAATTGAGATGTTTAATATACCTAAACAATGTAATTAATTCAGATTAAGTTATATAAATAAAAAATAAGCAACCCTATCAACTCATGAAGCACTACATAAAACAGAGATGATATCAGAATGAAAATGGATGACATATCAAGACTTTCTGATATTTGAAAAAGAGATTCAAGATAAATACAAGAGAACAATTAGTAAGTGAAGGATTTACTTGTGATTCTTTTAATTATTATAGAATTTTTGAAAGATTTAAATTTTATTTAAAAAGTTTTGTTTTCACAGGAAGTAAATCTAAATTGGGTGTTTATTTATGTTCTGGTGATTTGTAAAGTATATAAAATATTATTCCAGATGAATCTGGAAGATGAATACGGTAAAAATTGCATGGTAAAATGGACAAAAAATGGGTATAACTCAATGCTAGCTAAATGGGAGAATGTATGGATGAATGGATTAAAATTAACATTAAATTATAGTTTGAAAGAATTTTTTTATAAAACAATGTATCGTTGATATTTGACCCCAAATAGACTATGTAGAAAGGGTTTTCTAATAAGTGTTGGAAATGTAGTTAAAATCAAGGTTAATTTTATCATATGTGGTGGTCTTGCAAATATGTGAAAACATACTGGATATACATAACAATGACAATGCAGAAAATATTTAAGATACAAATATTAATGAAACCTGAAGCTTTTCTTTTAGATATGATGGATTAGCCAACTGAAAAACAATTTGTCATGCTATTCCTGTACATGGTGATAGCTACAAGGATTGTACTTGCAAAACACTGGAAAGAAAAAGGGATACCAACCATTAAAAAATGGATTTTGAAACTGACTGAATTAGCAAAGATGGCGAAATTAACTGCTTTGATTACAGATAATGAACTAGACAGCTTTATAAGAGACTGGAAACTGTTTGTGGACTTCGTACGCATTAAATACCACAACAGATGGCTAACAACGATTTGAAGATTAGTGTAATGTTTAGCTTAACCTGTTGACTGCTTTTTCATATATATAGATTCTACATGTTAAATGTTAAATTTATTCGACCACTTTTTTTCTCTTTTTGAACACTATTTTTTCCTTTTTTGTTGTTAGTGTTTAATGTATGCTTTTGTGTTTTTTTGTTTTGTTTGTTTGTTTTCCTGTTTTGTATTTTAATCCTTATGATAAAACAATAAATATAGAAAAACATAAGCAAGATTTGTTTATAGTACATACATGTGGTTTTAAAAATAACACCACATTACAATAAGCCTGGTTAATGACAGAAGAATCAAAATATTTCAATCTTCAACATGACAGACAAAATCAACTAAACTTTGCTAATATGCTAAGAAAGAAAGAAAGAAAGAAAGAAAGAAAGAAAGAAAGAAAGAAAGAAAGGAAGGAAGGAAGGAAGGAAGGAAGGAAGGAAGGAAGGAAGGAAGAAAGAAAGAAAGAAAAAAAGAAAGAAAGAAAGAAAGAAAGAAAGAAAGAAAGAAAGAAAGAAAGAAAGAAAGAAAAATTCAGGCAGGAGAAACAATTACATGAAACAAAGCAGGGATTAAATTAGTAACAATGACAGCCTGAAAAATGGCCACAAAAGCAACAGCATGTTTGGCCACATTCACAGCTGGGAGGTTTCAGATATTTTACCTTCCTGGGATTAGATTTAATGCCATTTTTCTACCTGAATATAATTAAATGTAAATCTTAACTGTGGTTACCATAGCTGGCATGCAAAAATCTGGATGACTGCGAGATGGCAGCAAACTAGTACATGAAAATCTCATTCTTTGTTACCATTTAAAGATGGTTCAGTTTTTACAGCCCAAATATGATAGTCCTCATCTTAACAAGGTGGTGTCAGGTTTCATTGACAAGTATTTTGGTATAATAATGTTCAGTTGGCCATGTAATGCAGATATAGCATTTTAATAAATTTTGAAATATGTCACAGAATGCCATTGCTGTGTGAATCATGGAACATTTTAAAGCAAATTGAAGCTTCTTTACTTCCCATTTTTACCCAAAAATGGGACTTTTCTGCTCTTGGTGGGTTTTTTTTCCCCAGCTGTCACAATTGTGACTTATTTCCTTATTTCCTAACCATCAAGTAAGTGTCAAAACCCATTTCTTCATTGGAACCATGTTTTGTCCTAGAAAGCAGATATGTTTGCATGCCATATATTTTTGACTAACAGCATTGTTTGTGATAATATGATTCAACGTGTCATTGGATTCTATTTGGAGGTAGCTTTCACTATGCCTTGTCTACCCTAACGACTCCAGCATCCCAATAATTGAAGAGAGATTTATGTAAGCTGGTCATGTTAAAAGAAAAATGGCATTTTGTCCTCCTTGTTAGGCTTAATTACTGCACAGGCATCTTAATAAGTTGACTTTAACAGTTGCTTCAAGGATAAAAAAAATCTCTAAGAAAACCTGCAAACTCGTATTTTTCAATAAACCTTTAATCATTCTCTTAAGGGCAGCAATCACTTTCTGGCTGCATACGTGTGCGTACAGCTATAACAGCCCCAAGGCTTCACAATACTGGTGACTGGCAGCAGAAATGAAAAGAAATGAAGCATTGGTGTAAAGAAGCAATGCTTAAACTCAGCGTTTTCATTTTCTGATAAATATATGACCCTTCAACTTTTAAAAAATCTAAGCAACACCCCTTCCTACATTAAACTGGTAAAATGGCTGAGTTAAGGAACCCATTTGAATGGGGAGTGAACAACACATCATTTGATATACTGTAATTTTTAACTATTGTATTTGGATGGCATCATTTAGATTTTTGAGCACCAATCCATGTGACTACAGAGAACCATATGGTAACATATCACAATACGCATGTTGCCACTTGGTAAGCCATCTGCTAGGAATGCTTGAGAAATGTGATCATTGTGAATTTGGATGTGAACTGGTCTGATTCATATTTTCTGGCTTAACGTGAAGATTGGAATATAATTATCCTTCCAATATCACAATTTTATGATGCAATTCTTGGCTTAAAAAATGTACACCAAACGGTTGGAAATTACTATTTTAAGATTAAGATTTTAAGCTCTTCACCTGAATCTTTAATAAAACATTAGAGATGTGCTATGTTCCTTCTTGCTTCAAATGCTCTACTATCATCCCAGTGCCAAAGAAACCCTCCATCAAAGAAATAAATGACTACAGACTAGTTGCTCTGATATCCATAGTTATAAAAACCTTTGAAAGGTTAGTGCTGGCCCACCTGAAAACCATCACAGATCCACTGTTAAACGCCTTGCAATTTGCCTACTGAGCAAATAGATCAGCAGATGATGCTGTTAATATAGCTCTGCACTATATTCTACAACATCTTGAATCTCCAAAGTCCTGTGCAAGGGTCCTTCTTATAGATTTCAGTTTGGCATTCAATACCATCATTCCAGATATTCTTCTCACTAAACTAAATCAGATAGCTGTGCCTGACCACAAGCGGATCACAAGCTTTTTAACAGACAGGAAGCAGCAAATGAAGGTAGACAAAGTCACATCAGATACCTGTACAATTAGCACACACACACACACACACCCCCAGGGCTGTGTGCTCTCTCCACTTCTCTATATATACCAATGACAGCATCTCAAAAGATCCCCCTGTTAAAGTACTGAAGTTTGCAGATGATACAACAGTGATTGGCCTCATTCAAGACAACAACGAATCGGCATACAGATGGGAGGTTGAGCAATTAGCCTTGTGGTGTGGCCAGAACAATCTTGAACTGAATACACTCAAAACTGTAGAAATGACAGTAAACTTTTAGAGAAACCCTTCTATTATTCAACCTCTTACCATACTAGACAACACAATATCAACAGTAGAGACCTTCAAGTTTCTAGGTTCTATAATATCTCAAGATGTAAAATGTATCATCAAAAATGTAATCAAAAAAACACCACAAAGAATGTTCTTCCTGCGCCAACTCAGAAAACTCAGACTGCCCAAGGAGCAGTGGTTGTCCAGTCTCTTCTTAAAAACCTCCAGTGATGAAGCACCCACAACTTCTAAAGGCAAATTGTTCCACTGGTTTATTCTCAGTCGGGAAATTTCTCCTTAGTTCTAGGTTGCTTCTCTCCTTGATTAATTTCCATTTATAAATGTCTGTTAAAGTATAAGATTTTTTTTTTAAAAAAATCTTCAATAGCCTTTTTATGTATGATTACAATATATACAATAGTCACCCTTTTCATTGTACTTCATAGAAGTCTAATTTTTTTTTTAAAAAAAAGCAGTGTCCTAAGAAATAATAGAATGTATTCATAGCATGAGTATTAGTATATTATATCTATTTCTGAAGTGGTAGAATTGCAGGCAATAGTATGTTGGCAAATAATATCTGGATTAAAGGTCCTACTTATATAGAATAGCATGAACATGGACTTGTAACACATTGGCCAAATTGTGCCCAAACTAATCGCTACTGTCCTTTTCTATTAACAGGGAATTCTCTAGGTGACATAGAGATAATTATGATTACTTAGTCTAAATATTGATTTATTTAAAAGCAGTATGTGAGAATCTCAAGTGACCAAAGGTATGATGTGTGGCAGAGGTCATTATCTATGGATCCACCTGGCAATGAGCACAGCCTACAAAATTTTGCAACTTGGAATGTAAGAGAAGTAAATGGTAAAGAAGATGACTAAACAAAAAGGAAAAAAAACAAATATTTTATGTGTCTATAAAACTAAGAAAAAAGGGAAGGATATAATAGGTGGAGTGGAACTGACTATTTCTTGCAAGGGAGAGAGCAGATAGGTTTAATTATGAATGAAAGGACTAAAATGTATTGCAGAAAGTATGAAATAGAATTATTTAGATTGTTGTGGATGCACAAGAATTATTAATCCATAGGTTGGTGGTAACTGCATGTTCCACTCTAATGAATGGTGATATATGAGCTTGAGGGAGGAAAAGGGCAAGAGTCTAAATGAATGCATTTGGGGATTGGGGCTGACATGGGAGAATATTCTGTTAAGGACCATGAATTGATGGGTGGGAATGAAATGAGAGAGTAAAGAAAAGGTAATAGTAATAGTAGTAAAGTTGGAAGGGACCTTGGAGGTCATCTAGTCCAACCCCCTGCTCAGGCAGGAAACCCTACACCATTTCGGACAAATGGCTGTCCAGTCTCTTCTTAAAAACTTCCAGTGTTGGAGCATTTACTGCTTCTGGAGGCAGGCTGTTCCACTGATTAGTTGTTCTCACTGTCAGGAAGTTTCTCCTTAGTTCTAGGTTGCTTCTCTCCTTGATTGATGGAATTATCTGAGGATGCAAGCATGAATTAGAATGTTAATTGTTTGGTGATCATCTACTTAGAAGCATCTAAGCACCTACTTAGAAGGCATGTTTTATTCAAATTCATAGTTTAAGCATAAATCTGTTCATAGACAATATGATAAATAATGAATACAACTATAAAAGCATCACATTGTGCTTTATGATGAAAGACTGCGATTCTTAGTGAAGGATATAAATATGATAAGAGGTTCTAAATGTTATTGGTATTGCTAACAGTGACCTTGGGAAACAATAGACATTAAAGAAAAAGAAGTGAAAGAAACTGGACTAAGAGTACAACAATGAAAGAGAACAGAACTATGAATTCTATCCTGTATGAAAAAAGAATATTAGATTAATCTGCCAACGGGATGAATAGAAAAAGAACACAGTAAAAAAATGTACTGTGTGCAATTATGTTAATGGAAGGGAAAGGATCTTCGATGCAATAATGAATTGAAAGAAATAGGTATACAGTAAAATGATTACTGCAGAATCAGGAAGAAAATTATTTTATAATATGCATATGAAATATAAAGCTTATAAAGATAAAAATAATTGTAAAGGATGTGGTCAAGGAAGTCCAAGAACTATTAATTGAAAATAGAGAAAATGCCAGTTAATTTTGATGAATACAAGAATGAATGAATGAATGAATGAATGAATGAATGAATGAATGAATGAAGTAAGCTTAAGAAGGAGCTTCCACCGCAGGCTGGGGGCTGGGGGGCCACAC